ATGCTGCTTGGCCTGCTGTGTTCATCCAGCTTTACACCTTGTTGTCTCAGATTCTCCAGCATCTGTAGTTCCTCCTATCCCAGGAATTACTTTGACAAGGTTCAGCATGGTAGACTGGTTAGTGAGGTTAGATCACATGGAATCCAAGGACAGCTAGCGAATTGGATACAAAATTGGCTTTGCACTAGGAGACAGAGGGTGGAGAAGGTTGTTGCTCGGACTGGAGGCCTGTGACCACCAGTTTCCCACAAGAATTGGTGCTGGGTCCACAGTTGTTCGTCATTTGTATAAATTATTTGGATGAGATTACAGGAGGCATGGTTAGTAAGTTTGCGATGACACTAAAATTGGTGGTATAGTTAACAGTGAAGACAGTTATCTGAGAGTACAACGGGATCTTGATCAACCAGGCCAGTGGGCTGAGGAATAGCAGATGGAGTTTAATTAACAGAAGTGCAAGACATCGCATTTTGATAAGAAAAACCAGGGCAGGACTTACACAGTTAATGATGGGGCCCTGGGGCGTGTTGTCAAACAGAGAGATCTCGGGGTGCAGGTAGATAAATTCTTGAAAATGGTCTTACAGGTAGAGAGGGTGGTGAAGAAAATATTTCACACATTTGCCTTCATCAGTCACAGCACTGAGTGCAGAGTTAGGGTGTCATGTTAAGGCTGTACAGGACATGGTAAGGCCACATTTGGAGTACTGCATATAATTCTGGTCATCCTGCTATAGGAAAGATGTTATTAAATTGGAAAGGTTGCAAAAAAGATTTACAAATATGCTACCGAGACAGGAGGGTTTGAGTTACAAGGAGAGGCTGCATAGGCTGGGATGTTTTCCATGGAGCATAGGAGGCTGTAAGGTGATCTGATAGAGATTTATAAGATCATGAGGGGCATAGATAAGATGAACAGCCATGTCTTTTCCCCAGGGTAGAGGAGTCCAAAACTGGATGGCATAGACTTAAGGTGAGAGGGGAAAGATTTAAAATGGATCTAAGGGGCAGCTTTTTCACACAGAAGGTGGCGTGTATATGGAATGAACTATCAGAAGAAGTGGTAGAGGTGAGTACAATGACAATTTGAAAGACTTTTGGACAGGTACATGGATAGAAAAGGTTTAAAGGGATATGGGCCAAATGCAGGGATTAGTTCAGGTTACAAAACCTGGTTCATGTGGACGAGTTGGGCCGAAGGGTCTGTTTCCATGATGTATGACTCTATGACTTAACTTCCAATGAGGTGACCAGCTCTCCTAAATTCCTGACTTGATTCCCCTGCAAGGTGAAACTGTTCTGCATTGAACTGAACTCCGAAATCTTCTGAACTGAATTCAAAACTACATTCCTTAAGGACTTGCCTTAAGGCAACATTGCCTTGAGGTGATTACTCCAACAGTTAAAAATCCATGAGACTGGATTTTTATTCATGTAAACTATAAAAGAATCTCTAAGTACTTGACTGCAATCATATGCTTTCTTGAAACTGATGTATTTCGGCCACTGCTTCAGATCTTATAAAAAAAGTTTGTTGTAAAAAGGCTTAACTCACAGAATTAAATAAAATCCATCTGCCTGTATTTGCAAAAAAGACTGAATTCCAAATATGTTATAATACATTACACATGTTGCATTACACCACACACATAAAGGTTGAAAGTTGTCTCATAAATAACCAGGGCAGGCAGGAACAAAGTAGAGAACGAGGAGGACTGATCAATTAAACTGCATTTCTTTCAATGCAAGAGGCCTAACAAGTAAGGCACATGAACTCAGGCCATGGTCAGGAACATGGGACTGGGATACCATAGCAATTACAGAGATGTGGCTCGAGGACTGGCAGCTTACTGTTCCAGGGTATAGACGTTATAGGAAGGATTGAGGGGTCAAGAGAGGAAAGGAGTGGCGTTTTTGATTACAGCTATATTTCAGGAGGATATTCCTGGGAATACATCCAGGGAAGTTATTTGGGTGGAACTCAGAGATAAGAAGGGGATGATCACTTATTGGAATTGTACTACAGACACCCCAAATAATCAGCCGGAAATTGAGAAATAAATTTGCAAGGAGATCTCAGTTATCTGCTTGGCTATGGTAGGGGATTTTAAACTTTCCAAACAAAGACTGGGACTGTCATCATGTTAAGGACTTGGATGTAGAGGAATTTGTTATGTGTGCACACGAACAGTTTCTGATTCAGTATGTGGATGTACCAACTGGAGAAGGTGCAAAACTTCACCTACTCTTGGGAATTAAGGCAGGGCGGGTGACTGAGGTGTCAGTGGGGGAGCACACTGGGGCCAGTGACCATAATTTTATTAGTTTTAAAATAGTGATGGAAAAAGATAGACCGGATCTAAAAGTTAAAGTACTAAATTGGGGAAAGGCCAATTTCAACAGTATTAGGCAAGAACTTTCAAAAGTTGAATGGGGGCACATGTTTGCAGGTAGAGGGATGGCTGGAAAATGGGAAGCCTTCAAAAACAAGATAACAAGAGTCCAGAGACAGTATGTTCCTGTTAGGGTGAAGGGCAAGGCTGGTAGGTGTAGGGAATGCTGGATGACTAGATAAATTGAGGTTTTGGTCAAGAATAAGAGGAAGCACATGTGAAGTATAGACAGCAGGAGTCAAGTGATTTCCTAGAAGAGTATAAAAGCAGTAGGAGTATACTTAAGAGGGACATCAGGATGGCAAAAAGGGGACATGAGATAGCTTTGGCAAATAGGGTTCAGGAGAACCCAAAGGGATTCTAAAAATACAACAAAGACAAAAGCAAATGAGGGAGAGAATAGGGCCCCTTAAAGATCAAGGCTACCTATGTGGGGGACCACCGGAGATCGGGGAGACACTAAATGAATATGTTACATCAGTTTTACTGTGGAGATGGATATGAAAGATATAGAACATGGGGAAATAAACTGCAACATCTTCAAAAATGTCCACTTTACAGAGGATAACATGCTGGATGTCTTTAAATGTATAAAGGTGGACAAATCTCCAGGACCTAATCAGGTGTACCCTAGAACTCTGTGGAAATCTAGGAAAGTGATTGTTGGGAGATATTTGTATCATCGATAGCCACAGGCAAGGTACCAGAAGACTGGAGGTTGGCTAGCGTGGTGGCACTGTTTAAGAAAGGTGGTAAAGAAAAGACAGGAACCATAGACCAGGGAGCTTGACATCGGTGGTGGGCAAGTTGTTGGAGGGAATCCTGAGGGACAGGATTTACATGTATTTGGAGCGGCAAGGGCTGATTAGGGATAGTCAACATGGCTTTGTGCATGGGATATCTTGTCTCACTAACTTGAGTTTTTTTGAAGATGGAACAAAGAGGATCAATGAGGGCAGAGTGGTGGACATCTTCTTTGTGGACTTCAGTAAGGCATTCGACAAGGTTCCTCATGGTAGATTAGTTAGCAAGGTTAGATCACATGGAATAGTGGGAGAACTAGCCTTTTGAATACAGAACTGACTCAAAGGTAGAAGACAGAGAGTGGTGGTGGAGGGTTGCTTTTCAGACTGGAGGTCTTTGACAAGCGGTGTGCCACAATGATCAGTCATGGGTCCACTGCTTTTGGTCATTTATATAAATAATTTGGATGTGAACATAGGAGGTATGGTTAGTAAATTTGCAGATGACACAAATTGGTGGTGTAGTGGACAGCAAAGAGGGTATTTTGGAGTACAACAGGATCTTGATCAGATGGGCCAATGGGCCAAGGAGTGGCAGATGTAGTTAATTTAGATAAATGTGAGGTGCTTTATTTTGGAAAGCAAATCAGGGCAGGACTTATACACTTAATGGTAAGGTCTTGGGGAGTGTTGCTGAATAAAACAACCTTGGAATGCAGGTTAGTATTGAATCAGAGATAGTAGGAACTGCAGATGCTGGAGAATCCGAGACAACAAGATGCAGGGCTGGATGAACACAGCAGGCCAAGCAGCATCATAGGAGCAGAAAGGCTGACATTTCGGGCCTAGACCTTTCATCAGAAAAGGGGGAGGGGAAGGGGGTTCTGAAATAAATAGGGAGAGAGTGGGAGGCAGATAGAAGATGGATAGAGGAGAGGATAGGTGGAGAGGAAACAAACAGGTCGAAGAGGCGGGGATGGGGCCAGTAAAGGTGAGTGTAGGTGGGGAGTTAGGGAGGGGATAGGTCAGTCCAGGGAGGACGGACAGGTCAAAGGGGCGGGATGAGGTTAGTTGGTAGGAGATGGGGGTGCGGCTTGAGGTGGGAGGAGGGGATAGGTGGGAGGAAGAACAGGTTAGGGAGGCGGGGACGAGCTGGACTGGTTTTGGGATGCGGTAGGGGGAGGGGAGATTTTGAAGCTTATGAAATCCACATTGATACCATTGGGCTGCAGGGTTCCCAAGCGGAATATGAGTTGCTGTTCCTGCAACCTTCAGGTGGCATCGTTGTGGCACTGCAGGAGGCCCAGGATGGACATGTCGTCTGAGGAATGGGAGGGGGAGTGGAAATGGTTCGCGACTGGGAGGTGCAGTTGTTTATTGCGAACCAAGCGTAGGTGTTCTGCAAAGCGGTCCCTGAGCCTCCGTTTGGTTTCCCCGATGTAGAGGAAGCCACACCAGGTACAGCGGATGCAGTATAATACATTGGCAGATGTGCAGGTGAACATCTGCTTGATGTGGAAAGTCTTCTTGGGGCCTGGGATGGGGGTGAGGGAGGAGGTATGGGGGCAGGTGTAGCACTTCCTGCGGTTGCAGGGAAAAGTGCTGGGTGTGGTGGGGCTGGAGGGGAGTGTGTGCTGCTTGGCCTGCTGTGTTCATCCAGCCCTGCACCTTGTTGTCTTGGAGTGCAGGTTCCTTGTTTGTTGAAAGTTGGGTCACAGGTAGATAGGATCGTGAAGAAGACATTTGGTATGCTTGCCTTAATTGGTCAGTGCATTGAGTATAAGAATTGAGAGGTCATGTTGCAGCAATACAGGACAATGGTTAGGTTGCTATTGGAATACTGTGTGCAGTTCTGACCTTCCTGTTTTAGAAAGGATGATGTGAAACTTGAAAGGGTTCAGAAAGCATTTACAAGGATGTTGCCAGGGTTGGACATCTTGAGCTATAGGGAGAGGCTGAATAGACTGGGGCTATTTTCCCTGGAGTGTCAGAGGCTGAGGGGTGACCTTATAGAGGTTTATAAAATCATGAGGGGCATGGATAGGGTTAACAGACAAGGACTTTTCCCTGGGGCGGGGGAGTACAAAACTAGAGGGCATAGGTCACTCGGCCACTGAGCCTGCTCTGCCATTTAATCAGATCACAACTGATTGGTTTTTAACCTCGACATTTTTACACATTCCCCACAAACTTTCATTCCCCTGGTAATCAAGTACCTTTCTACCAGTGCATTGAAAACATTTACGGATTCTGCATCCATTGTCCTTTTAGGAACAAAATTCCGCAGACTCACAACCGTCTAAAAAAAAGTTACTTAGCTCTGTTTCAAATGTGCACCCGTTATTTTTAGACTATGACCCATCATTCTAGATTCTCCCACAAGAGGAAATATCCTTTCAACATTGAACTGGTCAGGTTCCCTCAATTACATCACTTCTGACCCTTCTAAACTCTAAATGAATCATGCCTAGCCTGTATAGCTTTTCCTCATATAGTGATCGGCTCATCCCAAGAACCAGCCTAGTAAACTTTCTCTGAAATGTGTCTTACTGTATCACCACCATTACTGACTTCCCAGCATTGTCCCCTACAACAGTATCACCATCACCAACATTTCAAAACAGACCCGCTATTGTATCAACACCACCACTGACATCCCTGACATTGCTCCTCACAGTGTCACCCTTACCACTGACTCCCCAACATTACCCCCACAGTATTCCACCCTCGCCAAATCCTCAACACTGGCCCATTCCAAAGTATCACCACCACCTCCAAACACTGTGCCTCTATAGTATCGCCACCTTCACCGACTCGCTCACACAGCAACCCCCCACATATTATCACCATCGTCACTGACTTCCCAACACTGCCCTAACAGTATAACCACCACCACCAACTCCCCAACACTGCCCACTGATTCTTCATCACTGCGCCCTCCTACAGTATCCCATCAGCACCAACTCCTCAACAATGGCCCCTCCCACAGTATCACCAGCACAAACTTCCCAACACTGCTCCTCAACAGTGGAACACCAGCGACTCCCCAACACTGCCCCCAACATTGGCCATTATCACCACCACAAACTCTCCAAGATGCATGCCCAACATTATCATCACCACAGACTGCACAACACTGCTCTGACAGCATCATTACTACCACCAACTTCCCAGCGCAGCACCCCACACTATCACTACCACCAATTCCCCAAATCTGTCCCCTTCAGTTTTACCACAGCTACCATTTTCCCAACAATTTCTCCCATGGTACCACTATCACCACCACCCCCACATCACCACCATCAAGAACACCCCATAATTTTCCGGCCGGCATCCTCGACTAGAAGGTGCCATTCAGGTGCATCTTCATCAATGCCAGTTCATCTGGTGGCCCAGTGGCTCAGTGGTTAGCACGGCTGCCTCACAGCATCAGAGACATGGGTTCAATTCCAGCCTCGGGTGACTGTCTGTGTGGAGTTTACACGTTCTCACCCCTGTGTCTGTGTGTGTTTCCTCTGGGTGCTCCGGTTTCCTCCTACAGTCCAAGGATGTGCAGATTAAGTGGGCTGGCCATGCTAAATTGCCTATAGAGTCTAGGATGGGAAATGCAGGGATAGGATAGGGCAAGTGGTGGATCTGGGTGGGATGCTCTTCGGAGGGTTAGTGTAGACTCGATGGGCTGGATGGCCTGCTTCAACACTGGAGGAGTTCTATCTATGTCAACAAGCAAGACCTGCTATTGGAGGAGAAGGCTGTGACCTCACCAGCCACAATTTCGAATCGGTTGGGTGTTAAGATTGAAATTAAAATGTCATTGGCCAATACCTGATTGGTGTCCCACTTTTAATGCAATTTTCTGATAGCTTTGGGAATAGGATCTTGTATCTAGTAAGGGGTGAGTATGGTGTTGTGTATTGGTTTTGTCCCTAAACTAGTGGGGCAGGGTTAATAACTCAATTTCCCTCATTTTAGTTTATTTTCTTGTCTATGAGACTTGCTGTTTATTTTGAGTTCTTTTGTTGGACAAAATTAATATTAATCTTCCTTTGGGGGTTAATGCTATGCTATACTATGCTTAATCCCTTCTTTCTATTTTTATGTTGTCTTTCACATAGTGAACAACCAATTTGGGAATGGAAAGAAGTGCCAAAGTGACTTTACCCACTGCACACTGGAAACATGGAGTACCAAAAGCTACTGTGTGTCCAATGACTTACCAAGAGTCTTTTGTGTCTGGTATGACTATTATTCTAGTATTGGCTTCTATAGCTCCTCTCTTCTTTAGATGCTAGTGATTGGTGCAGGATAGAGGGATTTGTGTGTTGGCAGTGGTTATGTGCCTGCAACATGAGGCTAGGTCTTGTGAATTTGCCTACTCACTACTCAAATATTTCTAATGGGTCTGGAGGATCAAGTGGAAAAAGCAAAGATAGCAGAGCATCCTGGCAACTTCTCTGGAAAAAGGTTGATGATCATGGTTTTGTCTTCAATTGAAGATCTTGCTGACCAGGCACACAGGAGATTTGTTTAGTGCTACCTTGAGTGTTTTGAAGGACTAAGATGCAAGAGCAGAAGCTTGTCACTCAATGAAGTACTGATTGATCTGGTACTTCAAATCTGCTTTCTTACCTTTCAGCATAATCCTTTGGCCCCTTTACTGTGGTGTTCTATAGAGATCAGTGCTGGATTTGATTTTGTCATTTGTATGAATCACTTGTATGTGTATACAGAAGGCATGGTTAGTAAGCTTGTGGTTGACACCAAAGTTAGTGGTCTAATGGACAGAGAAGGTCTTCTAAGATTACAAAAATCTTGATCAATTAGTCACTAGGTGAGTGGTAGATGGCATTTAACTTGGATATGTGAGGCATTGTATTTTAGTGAAAAAAGGGCATGACTCCTACAATTAAAAGTAGGGCCTGGGTTCTCTTGTGGAACAGAGACCTAGGGGTTTAGGCACAATTCTTAGAAATTTGTGTGACATGTAAATAGGGTAGTTTTGGTGTTTAGTGCACTTTTTTCCTTCATTGCACACTCTGAATATAGGAGTTAGGAAGTCATATTCTGGTTGTACTAGATGTTAGTACTCCAGAAGAGGAGTCACTATCAGTTTGGCTTGGTCCCTTCATAGGAAGGATATTAAGTTGGTGAGGGTTCAGTAAAATTTACCAGGATGTTGCTAGGAATGGAAGGCTTGTGTTAAGGACAGGCTGGACAGATTTGCATGTTCTTTGGTTTATTGGCACAAGTGGCTGAAGGGTGACTTTAACTTTTTTAAAATTATGAAGGATAAGGTCAATGAAAAGTGCTTTCCCTACAGTAGGAATTTCAAGTCTAGGGGATATATTTTTAAGATGAAAGGAGAGATTTTAAAGACATGAAGGACAAATCTTACTGGTATTCTAGAGGAAGTGGTGACTGTGGCTACTTGAATAATTGAGGCTTGGTGGGATAGGGGCTAAGCACAAGCAGGTGACCACACTGCTATGGGTCTGGAGTCACATCTTGACCAGACAAGTTAAGGATGGCATGTTCCTTCTTGACAGAACATTATTGAATCAAATGGGTTTTCCCAGTGCTTGAGTTTCATGGTTCACCATTACATTTCACTGTTCTTTCATGGAAATGTGGGTCTCTCTGGCAATGTCAACTGATATTCTCCACACTTCACCCTAGAGAAGGCTGAATTACCTTGAGCTACTGCAGTTGTTCCTGTAGGAACATTCCAGGATTTTGTGACCATAAAAGAACAGTAGTCAAGGCTGGCTGAGGCTTAAAGGGAATCTTGCGAGTATTTCTGCCACACATTTAGTGGGCATTTTTTGTCTTGAATGGTGCTGAGCTTGAATGTTGGAGCAATGCCCATCTGCTGTAGAACTGATAACTATGCTGAGAAGGATGCAGAGGTGCTTGTGTTTGGACAAGTTGAATGGGTAAACAAATTGCAGATGAATTTCAATGAGGTTATCTAGTTTCTTCACATAAGGATACCCATCAACTGGGGAAATAGAGACAAAAAAATCTGCTGTCTGCTTTCACCAGTTAGTGAAGACAAGCATGAAATTCACTAGATGAAGGCAATGAATGGTATGCCTCATTTCATAGTGACAGGGTTTGTGTACAGGACCAAGGGTATTTTGCTGCACTTGTACGAGTTTGAGACCAGACCTGGAGTATCATGCAGTTTTGGTCTCTCTATCCATGGAGTGCAAAGAGGGTATAAACTAATTCTGAGTAGGTAGGATTGATGTACACTAACAGATTTTACTGGTTAGGACTCACACTCAATCTCAAATGAGGGGTATTTTTTAAAAACCTAAAGCTTCCTGCTGGATTAGAAAGGGTAGATGCAAGAATAATATTCCTATAACATTCCTGATTCCTCTGGACTCACCTGCCAGAAGTCAGACTAAGGATATGGATAGCACTAGGGAGGAATTTACCCAGAGTGGTAAGCGTAAGGAATTTAATGTCACAGGAAACTAACAAGACCTGAAGGTATAACTCTCTAAGACCAAGACTAAAGGATCGGAGGAGAGACTGAGTTGCATGATTGGCCATGAGTGTATTGAATGGTGGAACAGGCTCCAAGAGCCAAGTGGGCAGTTTCTACTTCATCACTGAGCTGGCTGCCTCAATAGATGGACAAACTTTGGAGTTAGGGACTAAGTTACTTTACAGTTTCCTAGCCTCTGATCCACTCGTCTCCATAGTCATTGCATCACTGAAAATGGTAAGTAGACTAGTTGTAGTAACCCTGAGGATATTGGATGTAGTGATAGCAATGCCTTCACTATAAAGATGTGATGTTCAAATGTCATGCTAGGAAATGACTACCTTCAACTTGTGTGGCACATGTTACCTGACAGCCTAAGGATGCTAGGTTTGAGTCTGCTTTTACCCACTGCATGATCAGTATGAATTTGCCAGGAAGCTCTGTCAATAGACACATGGACTGGCTTTAATGTCAATAATTTAAGACACTTGCTTTTGCTAACTAGTGAGTCAACATCACTGATTCAGATCTCTACCTTCTATACTTTTTACAGACTTGGATGAGTCAAGCGGTGAAATTCAGACTTCTTCTCCTGACATCTCCCAGTCAGCCCATCAGTCCAGTGTAGTCAATGACAATCCCACTTTTCCATTGGTGTAAGTACAAGTTTTCTCATGTCCTTATTCAAACTCTCTCTCTCTCCTGATTGGTAAGTGAATATTGGTATCCAGTTCTCAAGAGTGACTATGTTCAAACCTCTGTCACACTGGGAAATGCAATCTAATAGCAGAAATAGGCCATTGGCCCTTCAGACTTGATGGGCTGAATGGCTTACTTCTACTCCAATAGCTTAGTCTTTGGATCTAATCTGCCATTTGATCATCCTTGCCCCTTTCCCTGCCTGTTCTGTGTAACCCTACATCCTTGACTCGAGTTTTGAATATGAATCCTTAAAGCACCCTAGACAGCAACCCTTGCCCCCCACCCCAATGCAATGGTAAGGAAGTCTGCAGATGTACTAGTGCATTCCTTCCCCTCACCAACCCCCACCTCCACCCCTCCCCCTCCCCCCTCCCCACAAACCCTGGTCTAACTGTGTAATCTCAGATTAAGTGTCACCTAATGTTCACTGTCTATCCCACAATTCTATTCACAGCATCTACCCTATCAAGTCTTTTAAAACATATGCTTCATTAAGGTCACACTTTCATTATTCTAAACTCCAATGAGTACAAGCTCAACTTCTCCTTAAGAGAAACCCCCTCTGTCCCTGTAATTGTGAACCTTCTTGGAACAGCCTCCAAGCCAGGAAAGCCTGCCTTGGATAAGGGGGCCAATCTGTTTACTATTCCAAGTGCATGACTAGTTCTTTCCCTGTAGTTGTATTGAAAAACCACCTCTTCAAAGGGAATAGTGGTTAAAAATGAAACACACCCCACTTGCCCTCAACATTGCCAGTTAAACTTAGATTTACTTTGAGACAATACCCCATAAGACTAGAGAAGGTGTAGAGCTGGATGAACACAGCAGGCCAAGCAGCATCACAGCAGCAGGAAGGCTGATGTTTTGGGCCTAGACTCCTCAGAAATGAGGGAGGGGAAGGGGGTTCTGAAATAAATAGGGGGAGGCTGATAGAAGATGGGTGGAGAGGAGACACAGGTCAAAGGGGCAGGGTTGGAGCCAGTAAAGGAGTGTAGGTGGGGAGTTGGAGGACAGACAGGTCAAGGGGTGGGGTGAAGTTAGTAGGTAGGAGATGGAGGTGGGACAGGGGATAGGTGGGAGGAAGGACAAGTTAGGGAGGGCTGCAATGTGGACTTCACAAGCTTCAAAATCTCTCCCCTTCCCACTACCGCATCCCAAAACCAGCCCAGCTCATCCCTGTCCTTCCTCCCACCTGTCCCACCCCATCTCCTACCTACTAACCTCATCCTGCCCCCTTGACCTGTCTGTCCTCCCTGGATTGACCTATCTCCTCCTAACTCCCCATCTCTCTCTCTCACCCTGCCTCTTTGACCTGTCTGTCTCCTCTCCACCTATCTTCTCCCCTATCCATCTTCTATCCCCTCTCCATATCTATTTCAGAACCCCCTTCCCCCTCCCCCTTTCTGAAGGGTCTAGGCCCGAAACATCAGCCTTCCTGCTCCTCTGCTGCTAGGCCTGCTGTGTTCGTCCAGCTCTAAACCACCTTGTTATCGCAGATTCTCCAGCATCTGCAGTTCCTACTATCTCAAACAATTTTAACCCCATAACACTAGTTGCTTTTTGCTGTTTCCCATTGCTTAAATATTCATCACCTGCACTCCTGCCAATGAAGCATGGTTTGACAGACCAGAATTTGTTTTAACTTTGCAAATTCTGCAGTGAGACACTGAACTTGAGGCCATCAACGTACTTCAGGCAAAGAACAGTCATTAAACAACCAGCCTAAACATTTTGATAAAGATCAAATTTGATTCCACTCTTTACCCCAGCAACATCCCCCTCAAACATTATTCCAGTGAAATCACATCTTTGAATGCTCACTTGACTGACCAGCAACAAAAACTGCATTTTGTGCAACCTCTGATATCTGGGGACAACCTAACTCTGACTCTTGAACATTTATATAAAACTCTAGTTACTTCTATTAGCTGTGAATCAGCAGCTGTACTGGTTCAGTTCTCTCCTGAACCAGCTTTTATCATCTGGGCTCGTGCACTCTGCTCTCAATGTAACATTGCTGGCAATTCTTCACAGGTCTAGCAACATTAGAGGTGAAACAGCACAGTTAACATTTGAGCCCAGTGGCTCTTTATTAGGACTGGTAACAGCAAAGAGGTGGTATTTGCCTGGGAGATGAGGCTTTAGGCAGTTGGGAAGTGAACGGATGTGTGGAGATGTGAAAGGAGCAGGCAGACAAGGATTATTGATAGCAAGCCAGGACAGAATCTGGGCAAGTGATAATGAGCTACAAAGAAGATAATGGGTAGAATGTGCTGAAAAGCAACCCCATGTCATGACAGTCATAAAATATTGATTTTGGTCAATACTTCAGGGGTTATTTTGATTGAGGTGACTCAACTAGTTACCTCCAGTTGAGTCACATGATTTCTGTAAATACCATTTTGATCTAATGCCAGAGCTTTCTGACCCTCAAAGCATGTTAAGCATTAAACTTCATCACATGACTCAGGTCAGGACATGCCTAAAGACTATTGGGCTTGATGTCTGCATTCATCAGCTCAAACAGGAACTGGGCTAACCTTAAGGGTGGAATTGGCATTTTAAAGCAGTTGAACACTTTGTTGAATTTGAAGAGGTAAATCTGGGAGCATGATGCCCTGTTTTAAAACCATCAGGCATGTTGCACATTGGTTTAACATGTGCTACTTGACATCAATTCAAACTGTCAGCAAGCTGGTCAGTTAGCTCAGTTGGCTGAATGATGTCTAGTTTTGGGATTCAGTGGTACCAATAGTTCAGGTTCAAGTTAAGAACAGGGTCCCACATTTCTCGATCTCTCTCCCCTTGCCTCAGGCAAGGTGATCCTCTTGTTAGACCAATTCTTAATGACAGTAGCCCTATCACACTGACTAGTGACTTTTACCTCTAACAGTTTGGCTTTTTACCACCTTGAGGAATTTTGGTGGTACATGAATAGAGCCTGGACCAAGGTCTAGACATTAGTGTTTGTGGCATGACTCTTCAAGGGCCCAAATCCAGACAAAATGTGCTTAGTGATGGATGTGAGAAATGAAGTGGATCAACAAAATACCTGCTTGTGTTGGACCACCTCTAAACAAGTTGCAAGTGTTGGGCAATAGATGATCCTCAATGATTGGATGTATACAAAAGGTATTCTGAAAGAATGATCCATTTGACTCAGTAGCCATCATGCTATTTGTTCCATAAGTCAGTGTCCAAGAAACTGCAAAGCAGATCTTCACAAATGACAGTGCATGAACTACTTTTTGTTTGTAACTGTCCCTTCATATGGATGGTAGTGGAGCATTGGATTAAGATTGGTTGTTCAAGAGAATGTTGAAGTGTGGTCATCAGTCATTGGATTGCTGGGCCTATTTCAGAAAGCCTTAAAGACAACAACATTGTGGGTCTGATTCTAGTGTCCTTTAGGATAAAACTGTTGTCCTCACTTGGTGGTTCTGGCAGATACTTGAGCCAGATCTACTCGGTTGCTGTAGAGCTACATGAAGTGGGGCAGAGAATGGCCTTTAGGCCAATGTTTGCTTGTCCTCTGTTTAACACAATCTACACCCATTATTCCCAGGAATGGAAATGGCTATCTGCCTGCAATGAATTTTTCCAGAATTGTGGACCATAACTGGAGCAGTGTAGACTAGGTGTTCCTAGAATTGACCACTTCTCCATGGTAGCACAGTTGGAGGATGAATATCAGATCTTGGCTGGAATGTAACAAATAGACACTGAAATGAATAGTTGACAATGCAATTGGAGGGCTTCATGATCAAAAATTCTTCATGGAAGAATCTGATTTGAGCAGTGCTTTCTGCATCTCCTTGCCAGTGGCAAGGCCTTAGATGTCTAGTCTCTTGGCTCATTCTCTAGAATGAATAGTGCATACTTTTCTATTCAGTCCTTCATGGGATTTCTTGCTCACTCTGAACACTAACCTGGAGAAGCTGGTGGTGACTGCTTTTTATATTGTAGTCTACATGGTGTAGAGACTCCCTCAGTGCTGGAAGTGAGTATCAAAATTTAGATTCAGTTACTTCCTAAGTTTAGACTAAGGTGGCTTTTGAGAACTTCACTTGCCAAATAACATGACCATTTGGAAGTGACATGTCCAAGGAGCCTTGAGCAGCTGAATAGTTGTCTTTCCCAGGAAGTCAGATGAAGCTATGGGCTTGATTCATAGACATCTGGGTGTCGAGAAAGCAGGCAAATGTTGCACCCTTTTAATATAAAGACTACCTTAATTCCAAAGAAAATGACAACTAACTTCAGACCTCAAATGAAGCTCAGCTGGCCCAGATAAGCATTGTGTCCAGGCTTCTCAAATGGCTTTCCCTTGGTTCAGAATAACTAAAACCCATGGAACTGACAGCAGATTCCAACATTAAGCAAGTGGTAGAATTGTCTAGTCAGGTTCATCTGTAGGACCTGGGTGTTCTACTGTGGAGAACTTTGGTTATAACCAAACTTATAGTGAAGCAAACTTTATCTTGCCCTTAAACAAGGCACACAGGCAAATCTGAAAAGACTGTCCTGAACCTACAGGTAATAAAGTTGTCTTTGTCTTTTTGCTTTGGAAGGTTTACTTTTCAGTAATGATAAATCACAACTTATAACTGAATAATTACAGAAAATTGAGCCCCTTGGAACAGTGCAATCACTTAAATGACTCAGAACATTCAAACAGTTCTGGATTTCAGTTTGAGGTGTCACCAAGACACCACCTTTTTATGGTGAACCAGATAAGCAAAACCATGCTTAATTCTGTTTTTAGTGAAATTAAACTTTGCTTCAAATTCCACTGTGGAAAGTAATGTCTCCAAACATTACCATGGAAAAGGTCTGATTTAAAGACAAAGGTGCAATCTGGACATGGAGACAGGATTCAGGTGAGGGGAACAACTGCAGAATTGAGAAACAGGAAAAACCTATGCTAGGGAATTGCTGGCATGTGGAGGTTTGA